GGGTTTTTATCAGCAGTGAATTCGTCAATGGACTCTCTAGAACTTTATTTTATCACATCTCAGCATGTATCTTGAGATCTGCCCTCTGTGAGTGGTGGATGAGCCATCATGGTAGGTGTTAGGACACAGAGTGTGTGAGGGACATGGGTTGGTATGAGTTGGCACAAAGGGTCTATTCATAGATCATAGATCATAGAATTGTAGGTGGGTAAAGAGTATATGGTTTGCCATGGACATTATGGGGATTTATGTCTGTGGATAGAAGGGCACAAGCTGCCCTACAGCCATAAGGAATGGGCAGAGGGGAATGAGTTGGCATGGAGAATATGAGGGGCCATGAGGGTGGGTGCAGGGCAATGGTTGATGTGGGAAGGGCTGAGGGTATGAGGGGTAAAGACTGGGAGACGAGAGGGCTTTTCTATTCTTGATTTCTCGTCATATCTTTGACAACATGCTGTTGCACCAAAGCAGGCTTTCTGCCCAGTCTGCCTCAACAACTGGCAGCGTCCGCACACATTCCCCGGTCACCCGCCATGATTCCCATTTTCACTCTCAACTTTTTCTTCCAATCCAAGTGCCCTGCTGCAAATCTGTTCAGCATTTAGACAGCGTTTTCTAAAGTTTACTTGTTGAGGGTGTCTAGAGTAGAACTCAAACGTTCTAGCCTTGATTCGGAGGTAGGAAAGGATCACTCCAGCCATAACACAGCATGCCTCGATTTGGTGTCCAAATAGAAACCAAAAGAACTGCAGATGCCAGTAAATCAGGAACAAAATCAGAAATTGCTGGAAAAGCTGAGCAGGTCTAGCAGCATCTGTGAAGAAAAAATCAGAGTTAACGTTTCGGGTCCGGTGACCCTTCCTCAGATGCTGCCAGACCTGCTGAGCTTTTCCAGCAACTTCTGGTTTTGTTCTTGATTTGGTGTCTATTCATTTAAATGCACAGAAAAGCAGCAACCTCCATTATTAGCTAGGGAACTGTTAAAGAACCTGACCCTTTATTATGTGACAACAAAAACGGAAATTGCTGGAGAAACTCAGCAGCATCTGTGGAAAGAAAGCAGAGTTAATGTTTCGAGTCTGGTGACCCTTCTTTAGAACCTAATTTGCACTCCTACAACCCAAAATTCCTTCCAGTAAAGATACTGAAGTGCATAGTCACCTTTATACATAACCTGGATTCAGAAAGTGCTGATGTGTAAATTTTTTTCGCAATATGTATTGAGTCTTTTGAAGAAGCTGTGGAAAGAAATTCAAAATTCTACATTGACACGCATTTACATTTTAGCACCTCAGCGAAGCTATGTAAATCAGTGAAATATATCAGGATCCTGTCTTTCTGGAATCTTTTGAGGGTGGGTGATGGATGTTCACTTGTAATTGAATTTAGATTGATGGCCAGAAGTCTTCTGGGAACATTTCCAAAGACACTGTATTCTAATTAGTTTTCATCAAAATACCTAGACAGTACTTTGCATGACAACTGCTCTGTGGAAGCAGATGTGGACATTTCTAGAAGTTTTTTTTCTTGTCACCATGCTGCAACCAAATAGAAAATGAGGGGAAAGAAGTTGCAAGATTTCAAAACTATATTTAAGAACTACACTCTTGTGTAGATTTTTTTGGAAGTCTTGATGTAGCAACCATCTTGAATTCATAAAAAGGTTTGGACTGTATTTTAAACATTGTCCTAGGAACATTGTTCATCTATTGAAGAGTCGATACATAGCTTGGAAAGAAATACTTAAATTGCATATATTGTCAACAGTTGTTATTGATATCAGGAAAACTCAGCAAAATTCTGCATTTTAAAAAATTCTAGTAGTGAAAGGATTATACACGTAGCACAGATCAGCAAGAATGACTTTGTTATTTCTCACGTGACCAATATATTTAATGATAGTATGAAATTTATGAAGCTAAAAATACTTTCTCCTTTTTTCTTCTCTTCTGAGGTTCACTGCTGTGCCATTCAGGAGGGTACAGTAACAGAGGTTCCTTGTATGTTGTGTATCAATTGCTGTTACAGGGAGTGTATTCAGTCTTTTTTTTGTCGTATTCTATAAGCCTTGATTTCTAACAATGGCTTTATATCCTTGAAACAGCTCTTCAAGACATCTTCCCAGAGCAACCATCCTCAATGTTCAAGTTTTAGAGCAATTTATTGAACACAGCCTGGCTTTTGGGGAGAAGATAGTCAACCATGTCACAAAGTGTAATGCATATTATTATTTACATTCCTTCCAGAAGCTTATAATTTAGGTGTTAGTCGACCTTTGTGAAGGTGGGTCTTCCATTTCCTCCATAGAAAAAAAATCTCCACAAATCTGAGCAGTTTCTGTATTCAAGATTCATTGAGTGGGTTCAGAAGTCAGCCTGCTAGATCAAACGTCACACTAGTCAGACATGTTCCTGAAGAAGGGTGTGGGCCCGAAACGTCAGCCTTCCTGCTCTTCTGATGCTGCTTGGCCTGCTGTGTTCATCCAGCTCTACACCTTGTTATCTCTATGTTCCTGAGACAGCTTTGTCTGTCATTGCAACTCTGAATTGTTAGGCTGAATAATTCTGAGGCAGTATTTGTACCCAATGGTTTAGAGCATTTCAGGGTTGGAGCTGCTTCTGGGCAGTCTAGGTTCACCGAACTTTTGATTCCTGAAAATAGATCGAAGGATCCAAAAAAATGGGAAAACCACTCTTGTTATGATTTTCGTGTGGCAGCATTGAAATGATTAAAGGCGACCTACCTTCTTCATCATGTTCTCATTTTTTTTTCTAAAAATTCACCAAGAGGAGGGTAAGTTTAGTGACCGTGCAAAGTGTTAGCATTTCTCCCGGTCATAATTGTTGGATAAAATCTGAAAGAACTGCAGATGTTGTGAATTAGAAACAAAAACAGAAATTGTTGGAAAAGCTCAGCAGCCTCTGTGGAGAGAAATCATAGTTGATGTATTGGGTCCAGTGACCCTTCCTCAAAACTCCTGAGGAAGGGTCACTTGACCCAAAACGTTAACTCTGATTTCTCTCCACAGAGGCTGCCAGACTTGCTGAGCTTTTCCAGCAATTTCTATAATGATTGGATACTATGGCTGATGTTGTCTTTCGAATGCTACGTTTTGGAAAGGAATTCAGGATTGGAATTGTTCAGAATTGTTAGGCTACATGTGTGTTATGTTATTCAAACTTACACAATCCAGTGGATAAGGAAACAACTCCTATTTCCTAATGTAATTTTTGTGGTTACTTTTTATTTTGAAAGCTGTGCGCTCTGCAGCTAAAATGTTCCAGGGTTCCAAATGCATGGACCATCAACTATTGTGTGTATTCAACAATGCACATAGTAAAGCTACTCATGTTTGGCAAAGGAAAATATCATTTATGCCAGGTGAAATCACATTACTGATGATGTGAGCTCTGAAGCAAAGTTAAGATTTTCTAGCTCCACTGGAGCAGCTGCAATTAAAACAAAAATATTCACAGTTTATCTTAACTCATTGCAACCCAAAAGGACTTCCGAAATGGAAAGAGTATAAAGTGAAGTATAAATTTCTAGGAAGAATCACAATAACAAAACAAGTCTGTGGTCGAATCACCACCAAGAAATTTATATCAATTGTTGGAGCACTGTACACACCTAGTGTATTCACACATGCTGTTGGCTGGTATAGTGGCTCAGTGGTTAGTACTACTGCCTCATGGCACCAGGGACCCATGTTTAATTCTACCCTGGGGCAACTGTCTATGCGAAGACAATTCTCCTTAGATCTGTGTGGGCTTGCTCTGGTTTCCTCCCACAGTCCAAAGATGTGCAAGTTAAGTAGATTGGCTATGCTAAAGTGTGCAGGTTAGGTGGGTTAGCCATGGCTAATGTGGGGTTACAGAGATAAGGTAGGGGGCTGTGTCTGGGTGGGATGCTCTTTGGAAGGTCAGTGTGAACTGAATGGCCTGCTTCCACACTGTAGCGATTCTATGAATATCACATTTTGCGGTCTACCTTTCATTGCTTTGTGGCAAAACTAGTGATCTTCATTGTTTTCTCTTACCGTTTCATACAAACTGGCCAGTAGGATGAAGCAGTTGCTATGTTGTTAGCACTGCATTATAAAATAACTTGCATAACTGTTGACTTTAAAGGATTACAGTTTCATGCCTTTAATCTTTCTAAAGTATTTTCTGAAAATTGAAAGCTGGTAAAGTATTTTTTTTATAAAATAGAATCCTTACAATGCGAAAAGAGGTCATTTGGCCCACTGAATCCATGCCAACTCTCCAAAGAGCATCCCACCCAGACACAGCCCCACCCTATCCCGATATTTCCCAGGGCTAATCATCCACCTAGCCTGCACATCCCTGGACACTACAGGGAATTTAGCATGGCCAATCCATCTAACTTACACATCTTTGGACTGTGGGAGGAAACCGGAGCACCCAGAGGAAACCCACACAGACACAGGGAGAATGTGCAAACTCCACACAGACAGTCGCCCGAGGCTGAAATTGAACCCAGGTCCCTGGTGCTGTGAGGCAGCAGTGCTAACCACTGAGCCATCCCCTACGAAATTTAATTTTTGTATTTTAATGTCACCTGTTTATTTAAATGTTGAATTCTTGAAACTAAACAGCAGAACGAGCTAAAAAGAAAAACATCAGCATAAGAAAAGTTCAATTCAGCCAAAATTTAAATCAATATTCAGGACTTAGTTATGTCCCTTATTGCTTTAGTGGTAACCTGCTATCTTTCTTTACTTCCTCTTGAGTCAGAACTTTTTAAAGTAATTCTATTAAATCTACATTAACTCCCATTTCTGGAATTTGATTATTTGTTTAAAACCCACAAGGTTACACTGAAGGGTGAAAGTCAGGTCAAAAGACTCTGGTTGCATGTCTACAGTCTATCATCATCTCTTCTGACTCTAGTCTTACTCAGTAAAATCTGTTTCTTCAGTAAACCAACTTGGAAAATTTAATGGAATAACATTTTTTGATAAATGCATTGTTGATTAGGAAACCGTAGCATTATCATTGTCATCATCATTGTACCCTTCCAGGCAGTTTTCTTGAGCCATTCATTTCATCAGTATGTTCATTTGAAAGCCAAGACAAGCCACAAAGGTGGTCCTCAGTCATGGCTAAGGATATTCTTATGACACCTCTGGGAAGTAGCAAAGGACAAATGGAATAAGACTCATGTATCTACCTTTTATATAGAATGTCATTCGTATCTTGAATCAGTTCTCAAATACCTTAATAATTTAAGAGGTACTTAACTGTTTAATCTCTCTTGAGCAAAGTTCCAAAATCATTATCATCTGTTGCAAGCACAACTATGTAGCAATGTACAATAACCTGGCAATACAGGAAGAAGCCAGGCCTGAACAAAAAGCCAGATCAATGTGGAAGCACTGACCAGATGATAAAAACAATAGTAAAGTAAGGAAGACTGATGCAACCAGCATTCATCCAGGAGACATTCAACTCGATGTCTAAATTATACCTTTAAAATTAACCATCCGCATGTACCAAGAAGGTAATTGAAAACAGCTTTTTCCTCATTCTCTTCACTTCACCAGTGAACATCAAAGTACATTTTTTGCTTTCTGTGGGTTTTTTTTCCATTCATTCAGAAATAAACTTCTGGACAAATTTGAAGTACAATGAGTGGTATTTTCTGCTCCCTGGTGCATTGGGAGCAGTGGTGAATAATGTGAAAAGATGGAGAGAATGAGAAGAACCAAAATCTTGATGTTGAGAAAAATCTTTGCGATTTTCATTTCATCAAGCCTTAAAAGGCATCTTCAGAATTTCACTGTTGACTGTGACAATCCTATTTCCATGCAAATCCATGCTTATTAAACCCCAACTTGTGTTATTATTCTGCCATTTCCTCTTTTCAGTTGAGGTAGTGAGAACTACCAATGCTGGCGAATCTAAGATAACAAGGTGTAGAGCTGGATGAACACGGCAGGCCAAGCAGCATCAGAGGAGCAGGAAAGCTGACATTAAAGCTTCAAAATCTCCCCTCCCCCAACTGCATCGCAAAACCAGCCCAGCTCGTCCCCGCCTCCCTAACCTGTCCTTCCTCCCACTTATCCATTCCTCTCACCTCAAGACCCACCCCCCTCTCCTACCTAGCAGGCGCATCCCGCCTCCTTGACCTGTCCATCCTCCCTGGACTGACCTATCCCTCCTTAACTCCCCACCTACACTCACCTTTACTGGCGCCATCCCTGCCTCTTTGACCCGTCTGTCTTCTCTCCACCTATCTGCTCCTTTATCCATCTTCCATCCACCTCCCTCTCTCTCTCTATTTATTTCAAAATCCCCTTCCCCTCCCCCATTTCTGAAGAAGGGTCTAGGCCCGAAACGTCAGCTTTCCTGCTCCTCTGATTCTGCCTGGCCTGCTGCGTTCATCCAACTCCACACTGTGTTGTCTCCTCTTTTCATCTGCTTTCTTGAGAAATGAAATGGTGCAAATTCTTGAAATGTAAACCAGAGCAGGTACCCAGCAGCTGCAGCTTGTGGCATGTCTATCCTGGCCATCATGAAAATGTCTCTTCAGAGCAATGTCCCTGCAGGCTGCATGGCACCAACCTCCTCAAGCCTTCATTCACGAGCTGGTACTGGCAAACCCACCACCTGCCTCTACAAATCATCATCGCTGCTCTCAGACCAACTCACTCATTCCTTCAGCCTTTCAACACTTTACTTTGGAGTTAGAGTCATAGAATAGAATCCAAAATCCCTACAGTATGGAAACAGGCTATTTGGCCCATCAAGTCCACAACGACCCTCTAAAGACCATTCCACCCTGTCTCCGTAACCCTGCACCTCCCATGGCTAGACCCCCTAGCCTGCGCATCCCTGGACACCATGGGTAATTTAGCACGGCCAATCTACCCTAACCTGCACATCTTTGGACTGTGGGAGGAAACCGAGCACCTGGAAGAAACCCACGCAGACATGGGCAGAACGTGCAAACTCCACACAGACAGTTGCCTGAAGGTGGAATCAAATCCAGGTCCCCGTGCTAATCACTGAGCTACCATGCCTCCCCCCGAGTTCGGGGACAGCTACAACCTGCACGCTTCTGCTTTGCAGACTGGAACACACGTGCGCATCTCGTGTACCAACACAGTTGCACCTTATGCTTTTTGCTGGCTTTCTTAACACTCACTTACTTTCCTGCTTATCTGGAGGATGCTAGCCTCCATCTCCTTCACGTTGCTTTCTTAATGTGCACTCACTGACTTCAGCACTGACATACAGGTTGCCTTCCTCTGTAGACTGCATCTCTTTCTCATGCAATGGGAAAGGCAGGCAGTTTGTCACACTGGGGAGCACTGAACAGTCAAAAGGGTAGATATGTCATTGAATAGCATCATGCTATGTCAATATCTCACCTGCAGCATTCAGGCAAGGTCAGTCCTGTTGCAATTCAGATGCAAACTGCTCAGGGATGCCAGGTACATCAGTTAGTGTTGTGTGGAGACACCTGCCTGGGGCAGTGGGCCAGGTTTTCCTGAAATGAGACAAAGGAAAGGATTGAGTATCACAGACGTGGCTGGGGAAGCAATCACTGGGGATACGCCAGCAGGAGATGTGGTGAGATGTAGCTAGAGAGTGAGGAGGACATGCGACGACAGGCAGGACTTGTAATTTGGGCAGATGAGTTAGGTGGACATGATGCATTCAATGTTCAAGTTGTAGTGCAAGAGCTTAGGTGAGAGGTGAGTGCAGTGGCAGAGTTAGAGTGAGTGCTGGCCCTGTGAGTGTGAGATAACAGAGAAAAGATGGTGCCACTTACCCCAGTGGAGCACTGTAGATCATTGACTTTCTTCCTGCACTGTTGGTATCCTGCCTTACCCAGGACAATTTAGGTTCCAATTTATGCCCAAGCTGGCTTGGTCTGTTGGAATGGCCTCCTGTCATGGACAGCAGGAGAAAGGACTGCTGTTTTATTTACCAGGCTACCCACCCACACCTCCAGGGCCCTATCTGTGAAGCAGATAGCAAACTTTCCTTTGTCCTGGAACATGTATTTTTACATATAGTCGAGTGTCAGTTTGAGTAGCATTTCCTAGTTTGTAGAATCTGAAGTGATCTGAAACTTGGCCTTAAATATCAGTATGATAAGCAGTGGCCAGTACCTCTGCCTCTCCATCCTCATAATTCCTTAAGAAAACCACCCATCAGTCCAGTTGCATATTTAAAGAGGTGAAAACTTGAAGATTGTGCGAGAAAAGTCATACCAGGGCACAAAGGACCAGGCACTGTCAATCTCACTTGACAAAACACTTCAACTGCGAGCGGGAAAAAAAACCACCCAATGTAACAAATGTACTGACCCACACGATAATGTTTTGAATGTTCCCATAATTTGTAATCGTCAGTGCACACATGGGACCTCTAATTCATAGCCAGCGGATAATTATCAATGTATTCATTTTGAGTTTCAGTGGAATTTACACGAGATTTTGATAGCTCTCTACTTGCTCACGCTTATTTCGAGTTTGCACTATAACAGCCTCAGACATTTCTGGCATACTTTTTGTTACTTTCTCAGAAAGCTGGATATGCCCTGAGAGAAAGTAGCTGTATCTAACCATTCTCTTACTGTGTTACTGGTGCTAGAGTTCACTACAGCATATCTAGTGGTCTGCATGGGAGCAAATTTGAGAGAAAGCAACAAGTGATCTGAATCTCAGCCTCTCTCAACTCAATCCCGCAATTTTCTGAAAAAGATAGAGATTACTTAGCAGAACAGAGCTCTTGAACTTTCTACTGGTATTTTGAGCTTAATTAAGGTTAATCCAATGTGTTTTGACTTATATCATAGTTTCATACAGCATGGAAAAAGACCCTTCGGTCCAACTAGTCACACTGACCACGTTCCCAAATTATATTAATCCCACTTGCCTGTGCTTGGCCCATGCCCCTCCAAACCTTTCCTGTTGATGAACTTATCCAAATGTCTTTTAAATGTTGTAACTGTACCTGCTTCCACCACTTTCTCTGGCAGCTCATTCCACACACAAACCACACTGTGCAAATAACGTTGCCTCTCATGGCCTTTTTAAATCTTTTTCCTTTCACATTAAAAATATGCCCTATAGTTTTTAACCCCCCAACCCTAGGAAAAAGACCCTTGTCATTCACCTCATCTATGCCCCCCATGATTTTATAAATGTCATAAAAGTCACACCTCAACCTCTTATGCTCCAGTGAAAGAAGTCCCAGCCTTTCCAGTCTATTTTTATATCTCAAACCCTCCATTCCCAGCAATATCCTAGTAAATCTTTTCTGAACCATCTCCAATTTAATAATATCCTTTCTATGACAGGGAAACTATAAATGAACATGGCACTCCAGAAAAGGCCTCACAACATCCTGTACAACTTCAACATGATGTCTCAACTCCTATTTTCAAATGTCTGAGCAAAGAAGGCAAGCGTGCTAAACACTTTCATAACCACTCTGTCTATCTACGACACAAATTTCAAAGAATTGTGTACCTGAGCACTTGGGTCTCTTTGTTCTGCAACACAACCCACCAATAATTGTATAAGTCCTGCCCTTGTTTGTTTTACCAAAAATGCAATACCTCACATTTATCCAAATTAAATCCCATCTGCTACTCTTCAGCCCATTGACCCAATTGATCAAGATCTCTTTGTAATCTTAGATAACCTTCTTCACCATCCACTATACTACGAATTTTGGTGTCATCCGCAAGCTTACTAATCAAGCCTCCTACATTCTCACCACATCATTTATATAAATGACAAACAATAGTGGAGACGACAGTGCAGATGCCTTTCAAATTACTAGATGCACTACAGGAAAGTTTCCTACAAAGCCATTTTTCAGTAGGTAACAGTAAAAGAGTAACAGGTTATCGAGCAAATGTTTTGCGGCATACATACTTGGAACTAGTATTTGGGAGATAGTATTTGGGAAATCTCCTGAGGTCAAAATTTTTTTCCTAGTTTAGAAGGAGGTTCTCTTGGGTTTAGTTAACAGTATTTACCCTGTCAATTACTCTCTCCTGGATTTATTCCAACATTCTTCCAGCAAGGGTGCTTAAATACTCAATTGAAAAAACCTTTCTTCACCACAATTTATCCGATATGACTTCAAGAGCACGATCCCCGAATCTGGATGCGTAGTAGCATAATAATTAACCATTTTACACTGATACTGTAGTCCCAATCCCATTCCATTCCTGTAGAGAAGAGAATCCTTTAAATAGCAGGTGTACAATTTCGGAGAGATGGGTTGAGGAAAATAAAATTATCAGAATTTCCCAAACTGCACCCCAGGAGAATTTTTGTACTACTAGCTGGACATCTTAGGAACCAGGTGGTAATTTCACCAAATTTCTTCTAGCAAGAGTACTAAGATGAATGAATCTGTGTGATTCTGAGTTCCACTCCATAGTGCCAATAGTACACTGGTTTGATGTTCCACAGTATGGTTTATTCTGCTTCTAAAATGCTTCATTTGGTGAGTTTCCAACCACATCTTATCATCAGAGATAGTTCTGGATGACATTTCCCTACATTGAGAATATCTCCTCAAGCCCCTTCCAATTCAATGAGAGTGACATAATCAGAGTCCTGGGAGGAGAAAAAATGCAAGTGAACAAAAATCAGCTTTAATAGCACCAAATTTATGAAGAAAACTTTAATCTACAGATTGAGATTTAAATATTTACACAGAAGCATTACTCCACAACATCCAATCAAATATACTTTGTTTCTGTTGTCCTAATTAATCTCTGATTATAGCATCAGTATCATGGGTGATCCTGTAAGACACACCATATGCTAAAAGCAATGTAACCTCTACACCAGCCAGAACAGTGTATCGCCATCATATTAGTTTCATCCCCTAAAAGACATCCTTCCTGATCCACAGTCACTTAGTTATATTAGACTTTAACCATAGTTGACATTTCCAAATACTACATTCCCAGACTAAAGCAGAACAAATCCCTCTGACCATGGGGATACCTGATCTCCAAACAACACATCTACCCAACTTCAAGTATCCAGTACTCCCTGTGTGGCAGAGTCTTCAGGCCGTGTATGTTACAGCCATCTCAGAACTCATTAAATAGGACTGGAAATAAATCATTGCCAATTCTACACAACTGCCTAAGGAGAAGGTGGCCAAAATGAAGACTGAAATAAATGATAAAAATACAGGAAGATCTAAATTATGAAAGCTCAAAGAGTCAACAACTCATAAGCTTAAAGAGTTTGAGCAGTTCCAAGTGTATTGTCAGGTCCTATCCATATCTATTGCAAGTATTGTTCAGACATTGTCATGGGGTTAGCATGTTACAAATAAAGGGAGACTAAGCTGGTGGAAAATAGTGGGGAAAGAGAACACATCTGATATGAATATCTATGTAACTGCTTCCAATGCGGCTGCAATTCATTCGATGTAGTTTCCAACTCAACTGGCAGGGCTATAAACTCAACGAGAAAGATGGTTAAAGAGCAATTCAAACAATTCAGTATTCCACCAGATTGTTGGGTTGCATGAATCTGAACCTTCTGCAGAAATTAGAAACACAATTTTTCCTAGCAGTTGAGGGACAGGGCGAGGGAGCAATCTGCGAGTATTTTGAAACAGCATCCATGTGGTGTCAAACACCACTTGACTGTTCTTTTAGCAGCAGCAGGTTTGCAGTTTTCCAGTGGAAAATTCTGATTAATGGAGAAATTCAAATGTAGATTGAAAGCTGTCCAACATACCCACTTTATAGGGTAAGTGGGACTATTAATAGGGCTGTAGTCACCAATGTGAGCAGGCCAGGAACTCAATATGTAATTCATGAACTATTCTAAATGCTATAAAGCACAACTAAATGAAACCATTCTTTTGTAGTATAAAATGACCTGTAATTGTTTCCCAGATGCTAAACCCAAGGTAAAGTCTTTGGGGCTGTGGGCTTCTCTTTTTCACACTTTGGACTTTTACCACAAATGAATGCATTAAAGACCTTATGGTTCTGTTTAAAGTTCATCTTAAGTAGACATTAGGCCTCTCCTGCATAAGAGACAACTTTGTAAAGTGAACATTTCAATCTCTGTCATTTTTGATTCTTCCAGCAGATTTGCATCCTCAGCTCCTTCTCCTCATCACATCAGTCCAAGAAGAATTGCAGCACCTCCACCCTTAATGCACAGAAGGACACCACAGCCACCTCAAGTTCAACAGTTCTCAGGGTCTCACCTCAAACCATACCCACCAATCACAGCTTCTTCTGCACAATCAAGCAGTATCCATGTCCAAGGTAAGAAACAATGACCACAACAGGAGAAATTCTAGTGAATTCACAACAGGAACCTTGTTGATAAATGCAAAGTTCTGCAATGTCTTATTGAAAACTGAATGCAACTTCCCATTTTATTCCTTAAAGATAAAACAGTGCAACAACCCCCAGCTTGCAAGTGTCAAGTTTGTTACCAAGCAACATTTTTCTTCTTCTTGCAAGAATATTAATTGCCTGAATTGCAACTGAGAAGTTCTTAGCTAAACAAAAACTGTAATTGCTGGTGAACCTCGATAAAGAGTCACCAGACACAAAATGTTAACTCTGCTTTCTCCCCAAGGTGCTGCCAGATCTGCTTAGTTTCGCCAGCGATTTCTGTTTTTGTTTCAGGTTTCCAGCACCCCCACTGGTTTTATTTTAGCTCTTAACCAAAAGCTAGCTGAACATGTTTATAAACTAATTATTTAAAATCTGGAGTGGGGAAATTCATTCAAGTGCAGAACAGGAGATAAAGCTGGGATCATGTTCCCCTGAGCAGCCCAACACAGTTGATTAGTGGGGGCACTTGTTTTCCCTTGCCGACACCATCAGTGCTGACTCCTGGGAGTGTTCCACAGTCACACATAGTTATACATTATCAGAAGGCAATTGATGGAGCTGTTGCCTGTCTTCAAGAGCTCATCATCGAGAAACCACCACAAAGGCAGCTGCAAAGCAATGTTAGAAGTAGCTTTCAACATTAGACAATCTTCAAGCAGGAACTGATTTTGCTGACTGCACAGATTCTACGAAAAAGAACCTGAGTCCAACAATCAACGGTACCTCTATTTACTTAACTTCTGCTTTTAGATGGCACAGAATTAATAATATGGACCAGCTCCACAAAAATCATTGTCTCATGAGATGGAAGCTATCACCAAGTACTGATGGATTTTATTTTTCACAATGTTGGAATCCTGTTGTGAGAAATAAGGTTTAGCATTACTAAAGCAGAAAATCACAGACAGTGCAGATTTTTGTTGTTCTCTTGTGGGACGTGTTCGTCTCTGGTTAGCCAGCATTATTGCCCATTCCAGTTGCCCTTGAGAATGTGGGCTGCTTTCTTGAACCACTGCAGTCCAGTTGGTGTATGGACACTCACAATACCCTCAGGAGGGAATTCCAAGATTTTAACCCATCAACACTGAAGGAACAGTGATATATTTCCAAGTCAGGATGGTGAACAGCTTGGAGGGGAGCTTGCAGATAGTGCAAGTATCTGCTGCCCTTGTCCTTCTACGTGGAAGTGGCCGGGGGTTTGGAAAGTGCTGTTTAAAGATCTTTAGTGAATTTCTACAGGGCATCTTGTAGATGGTACACTCTGCTGCTACTGAGCGTCAGTGGTGAAGGGAGTGGATGTTTGTGGATGTGGTGACAATCAAGCGGCATGCACCCATCCAGGGAAGTGGGAAATATTCCATCACACTCCTGATTTGTGCCTTTTGAATCGTGGACTGGCACTGGGGAGTCAGGAGGTGAGTTATTCAACACAGTATTCCTAGCCTCTGAGGTGAACTTGAAGCCATGTATTAACATTGCAATTCTGGTTGAGTTTCTGGTCATTGGTAAGTCCCAGGATGTTGATAGTGGGGGATTCAGTGATGGTAACACACCATTGAATGTCAAGGGGCAGTGATTAGGTCTCCTATTGAAGATTTTCATTGTGTGGCATTTGTGTGGTAGAAACCATTACTTGTCACTTGTCAGCCTGAGCCTGGATATTGTCCAGATCTAGTTGGATTTGGACATCTACTGCTTCACTGTCTGAGGAGTCATGAATGGTGCTGACCATTGTGCAACCATTAACGAACATCCCCACTTCTGATCTTATGATGAAGCAGCTGAAGATGGCTGGGCCGAGGACAGTACCCTGAGGAACTCCTGCAAAGATGTCCTGGAGCTGAGCTGGTTGACCTCCAACAACCACAACCATCTTGCTATGTGTCAGTTACGATTCCAACCAATGGAGAGTTTGCCCCCGATACTTATTGATTCTACTTTTGCTGGGGCCCCTTGAGGCCACACTCGGTCGAATGCAGGCTTGATATCAAGGCCTGTCACTCTCACCTCACGTTTGGAATTCAGCTCTTTTGTCCATGTTTGAATCAAGGCTGTAATGAGGTCAGGAGCTGAGTGCCTCTGGTGGAACACAAACTGTGTGTCACTGAGCAGGTTATTGCTGAGCAGGTGCTGCTTGATAGCACTGTTGGTGACACCTTCCATAACTTTACTGATGATCGAGAGGAGACTGATGGGGTGATGGTTGGCCAGATTGGATTTGTCCTGTTACCATCACTGAATCCCCTACTATTAACACCCTGGGTGTTACCATTGACCAGAAACTCAACCAGAATTGCAATATAAAAATGTGGCTTCGAGTGCACCTCGGAGGCTAGGAATACTGTGATAAGTAACTCACCTCCTGACTCCCCAGTGCCAGTCCACGATTCAAAAGGCACAAATCAGGAGTGTGATGGAATACTTCCCATCTGCTTGGATGGGTCATTTTCAGCATTGTCAGGTAAATACCATCGTTGTAACTGTACCTGATCAGCTTGGCGAGGGGAGCGGCAGGTTCTGGAGCTCAGTACTATTGTCAGGCCCCTTAGCCTTTGCAGTATCCAGTGCCTCCAACCATTTCTTGGTATCACTTGGAGTGAATCAAATTGACTGAAGAGTGTTATCTATGATGATGGGGACCACTGAGGGAGGCTGAGGAAGATCATCCATTTAGCACATCTAAGTGAATATTGTTCAAATGCTTCAGTCTTATCTTTTGCACTGATGTGTTGGCCTCTTCCATCATGGAGGATGGGGATGTTTGTGAAACTGCATCCTCCAGTGAGTCATCTAGTTGTCCATGAACATTCACAACTAGTTTTGACAGGACTGCAGAGCTTAGATCTGATCCATTGGTTGTGGGATTGCTTAGCTCTGTCTATCACTTGCTGCTTTTGCTGTTTGGTGTGGAAGTAGTCATAGAGTCATAGATTAATACAGCATGAAAACAAGCCCTTCGACCCAAACTGGCCCAGGCCGACCATGGTGCAAACTCAGCTAGTTCCAATTGCCCACATTTGGTCCATATCCCTCTAAACCCTTCCCATCCATGTACCTATCCAAGACAACAAGGTGCAGGGCTGGATGAACACAGCAGGCCAAGCAGCATCATAGGAGCAGAGAGGCTGATGATTCGGGCCTAGACCCTTCATCAGAAAAGGGGGAGGGGAAGGGGGTTCTGAAATAAATAGGGAGAGAGTGGGAGGCGGATAGAAGATGGATAGAGGAGAGGATAGTTGGAGAGGAAACAAACAGGTCGAAGAGGCGGGGATGGGCCCAGTAAAGGTGAGTGTAGGTGGGGAGTTAGGAAGGGGATAGGTCAGTCTGGGGAGGACGGACAGGTCAAGGGGGCGGGATGAGGTTGGTCGGTGGGAGATGGAGGTGCGGCTTGAGGTGGGAGGAGGGGATAGGTGGGAGGAAGAACAGGTTAGGGAGGCAGGGACAAGCTGGACTGGTTTTGGGATGCGGTAGGGGGAGGGGAGATTTTGAAACTTGTGAAAACCTCTTCCTCCGTTACATTGATGACTGTATCGGCGCCACCTCGTGCTCCCACGAGGAGCTTGAACAGTTCATCCACTTCACTAACACCTTCCACCCCAACATTAAGTTTACCTGGACCATCTCTAATACCTCTCTCCCCTTCCTGGACCTCTCTGTCTCCATATCGGGCAACCACCTAGAAACCAATATTCATTTCAAGCCCACCGACTCCCACAGCTACCTAGAATACTCCTCCTCCCACCCACCTTCCTGCAAAAATGCTATCCCCTATTCCCAATTCCTTCGCCTCCGCTGCATCTGCTCCCAGGATGAGGCATTCCACTCCCGTACATCTCAGTTGTCCTCGTTTTTCAAGGACCGTAACTTTCCCCCCTCGGTGGTCGAGAACGCCCTCAACCGTGTCTCCCACATCTCCCGCACCTCATCCCTCACACCCCGTCCACGCAATAAGAACCAAAAAAGAATCCCCCTCATCCTCACGTACCACCCCACCA